ACTTCAAGGCATACGCTTATGTTTATTTTAAAAAATATGGATAATCAATCTATGTAACTATCTATTTCATTGACCTTGTCAAATCACCAGGTCTACAGGGTTGCCATAATTTTGCAATATCATAACCCGTCAAAGCCCACTGGTAGGCATTCAGTTTGGAATGCCTAATTTTAATACTTTTAATCGATATTTCGACGTCAAAAAACCAGCAACACCAGCGCCCTCTGAAAATAGTGTTAGTTTTATTGGAAAGAGATAGACATATGTAAAGATCAATGTAAAAGAAAAAGAGGGTCATATATGTAATTTAAATGGACCACCGAACATATTTTCCTATTAAGTTACACGTCTCTGTTGTCTCTGATACTATTAAGACTTTTATTTTTAGGTACCTTAGTCGAAGAACCGATTCACTGCTATTAATGAGAGGTGTCAATGTTTTCGGTGATAAGTCTCCTTTGAGTTGGGGCACAAAACGCCCTTGATTGTTGAAATTTCCACACTGAAACCCTATTTTTAAAGTTTTAGTATTTTTCTTGATGTGCAAAGTTCGCTATTAAGGTTATTATTTACAAATGAAAGTTAACAATTTCCGTTACTAAAAATGCTTTTAATTTGATTCAAATCAATTGTTATTATGTAATTTTTTTATATAAAATCATATTTCTTGTTTAATTAATATTTTTCATTAAAATTAGAGATAGCTAAATGTGTTTTATTTCATACATTTCCTTAATTTAGTTTTGAGGTTATACCTATAGCATCATTTATAACTTCATTTAGTTTAATTTTAGCAATGGTTATTATTTATCATGTCAGTTTTATGTCTGGCTTATTAACTTAATATGTTATGCACAATTTTGGTTATTATGTTTGTCTTCTTCAAGAATTTTATGAATTTATTTGTTATTTTTATGATTCCCAAATTTCATTGTTTAAATACATTGTGAGGTAGTATACAGTTTTGTGCTACTTTCTTATTTTAATTATTGCAAATCTAATAGTATATTATGCAACGATCATGTAATGATGGTTATTAATACACGAGCATTAACCGGGATACGAAACGAGCCAAAGGCGAGTTTCGTATGGTCTATGCGAGTGTTTTAATAACCATTACATGAGAGTTGCATACGCTATTTTTTCTACACCCGATAAATAATCAAGACCTATAAATATTATATTTATATTGGTATTGAACACAATAACAGTAATTACTCGTATTTCTATAAAAAATTCTACAAAATTGTAATTAATGGTATTACTTCGGGTATTGGTATTTCCCTAGATTTTTGCTGCAAAATATTTTGTACTGTATTTTCTGCTTTCTCCGATATGTGTGGAAGAGTCTTCTATATCGCTGATATGAGACATTTTAATATTATAATTATCGAAGTTTAGCTATCTACGAAAATTTAATACGTTTTGACAACTAAAACAATTACATAGAAACCTAGGACAAACGTCAAACAGCATGCTTGATTGAAAAATAGTAGGTTTCTATTGATTAAAAATCTGTATCGTAATGAAAAATCTGTATCATAATGGGTATAATTATGAAACGGATTATGGGCATATAAGTGCATTATTATAATACGGGTGTAGAAAAATAATATTATGATTTCACTGTCTCAAATTGGGTTCAAAGTAAAGTTTTATATTCATTATTTTCATGCTTCAAATATTGTTTGCCACAGTAAATATCAATAGAATATACCTAATATACATTCATTGTTTTCTTGATAATGGGTCCTATGATTGAACGTTTACGTTATCCGTAACGTACATGTTAGGCCGAGTTTTAACAGAAATGAGGCAAATTCGTATGATGAAAAATTTTTTTCAACACATTACTGGTATTTTCCGCCTGTTATGTTCTAATTTAACAGTTTTCCATCATACAAACTCGCCTTATTACTGTTAAAACTCGGCCTAACATGTACGTTACGAATAACGTAAACGTTCAATCATAGGACCCAATGGGTCCTATGATTAAACGTTTATGTTATCCATAACGTACATGTTAGACCAAGTTTTAACAGCAACGAGGCAAATTCGTATGATGGAAAGTTTTTCATAACACATTACTGTTATTTTCCCCCTGTTATGTTCTAATTTAACATATAGCCTCAACAGCCTCGAATAACATACGATTAAGTACCCAAAGTCCATGTTAGGGTCCGATTACAATTAGAAGAACACAGCTGTCATCATTTGGTAAAGTAATTAATTGGTTATCGCCGCCTAATGGGGGTTTAGTGGAGTGTTAATATTATAGGAATACAGGGTGTCCCGAAATTAGACGGTCATATTTTCACAGCGTAATCTACATCCTAAAATAGGAGTAAAAGTTCATATAAACATAGGTCCGAAAACGTTTCTTTTCCGAGATACAGGGTGTCAAAAGTGAAGTCCTGATGGCACACTTTTGTAAATATTTTCTAAACGTTTAAAGATAACTAAGTGAAATTTAGTACAAATGCTTACCTTTTTACACTCTATTTAATGGACTAAACCCCAGTTTTTGATCATCTTCATCGTAAATTAGGGGGGGCTTATGGTAAAATTGCCCTAAGTTTTTTTTGACAGTTTTTAACATTTTTGACTATAAAAATTGGAAAATCAATGTTTTCTTTATAATAAAGTTACTGTTCTTACATCTTGCTAAGACGCACATTTTCAAGAGAAAAGCTTTTGAAATTTTCATAAAGTTGATGTTATCTTATTCGAAAGTGTAAACAATAATTAGTATGCCTGTGGAATCAGAAATTTTATTTTTTTTTACTTTGGAAACGCAGTGACTAAAGAAATTTTAGAAAATATTTACAAAAATGTGCCATCAGGACTTTACTTGTAACACCCTGTATCTCGAAAACGAAAGGTTTTCGGACCTATGTTTATACGAACTTTTTTAGGATGTAGATTACGCTGTTAAAATATGACCGTCTAATTTTGGGACACCCTGTATACTAAATATTGTTTTACACCTAACAACTTACTTAATTTTTGTTTATTGAAAGTTATAGATAATATGTATTCGAAATTCGAAGTAATGGTTATGACGTAACTGCCTTCCTCTAATTGTAATCGGACCCTACCACTATTTGTTTATTATTTTTTAGGGATTAGATTTTAAATGGAGAGATTAATTCATTTACATTTAATACAAGAATTAGATAATGAAATAAAGGCTATATGAAGCTAGCGGGTACTCTGTGGCGATACCATACAAGACCTGGGGTAGTATTCTCGAATCACGAATACCGACATTCGCATACGTGTTTCACAATGTGTCTCACTTTGTTGAACGAAAACCAAGTGAGACAAATCATAAATCTCGCATGCGAATCTATATTCGTGACTCGAGAATATTACCCCTGGTGGGTTTTTTGTAGCTTTTTTGTTACGCTATTTGCGAATTTGTAGCTTAGCCCATGTCCGAAAAAACAGCGGATCTGCTAGCTTGAATTTCCATAGTAGCGGTACAGATTTATACCCAGCTGGTTTTTCGTAACTTTTTTGTAGCTTTTTTGTTACGCCAATCTCCCTTTTGTAGCTTGTACTGAACCTGAGAAAAGCGCGGATCCGCTAGCTTAGGGGATATTTGTAGCGACACCAGCTCGGACCCGGCTCATTTTTTGTAGCTTTTTTGTTACGCCTGTCTCGATATAGCTATATCAAGCTAGCGGGCACTCTGTGGCGGCACCATTCAAGACCTGGCGGGTTTTTTGTAGCTTTTTTGTTACACTATTTGCAAATTTCTAGCTTAGCCCAGGTCCGAAAAAACAGCGGATCCGCTAGCTTGAATTTCCATAAATTCCATAGTAGCGGGACAGATTCAGACCCAGCTGGTTTTTCGTAACTTTTTTGTAGCTTTTTTGTTACGCTAGTCTCCCTTTTGTAGCTTGTACTGAACCTGAGAAAAGTGCGGATCCGCTAGCTTAGCAGATATTTGTAGCGGCACCATTTCGGACCCGGCTCATTTTTTGTAGCTTTTTTGTTACGCCTGTCTCAATTTCGTTGCGAGGCCTGAACGTGAGTAATAATCGTTTCTCCATGAGCGTGAGAGAAAAGTGCGTTAATTTAAAATCAAGTTTCGGCCTCTACAAGTAATATGTGCAACTCGATAGTGTGACTATCTGTTGCTAGATGGCACCAGTATTGCATTTCACGAATTATGGCCATCTTCCATCCAATATATTTTTGAGAAATTTAGATATAATCTCAAAATCGGACCTTTTCAACGGTATGTATATTAATTATTTGTCCGATATTAATGTAAAATACATATTGACAAGATTATTAAAATAGTTGTATGCCGGACGCCACTATTTTCCCAATCGGGTGTTTTCGGTTATTTTTACTGCTAAAAACTTACTGCTAACTTCACACCGGTGGTAATAGCTACCAAACAATTACCTATTCTCACTATATACAGTGTGTTCCATCTCAGACGAGCCACCCCGTATAGTTCTTATTCCATAGTTTTTTTTAATTGGAAAAATTTCCCGAAACACGTCTGATGATTTTCTTTGGGGGACATATTTTGACGTATATTTGAGGCTTTAACGAGCAACCCCCTATAAGAGGGCGCTTTAACCCCTCAAAATTGAATAGGGAAGAGGGGTTGGGTGATACTTCATTTGTAAGGTCCTGAAAGCCTCTTTACAACGGTGTATGAAAAAAATCACATTCTTAAAAAAATCAATGGTACCGCTACAAATATCCGCTAAGCTAGCGGATCCGCGCTTTTCTCAGGTTTAGTACAAGCTACAAAAGGGAGACTAGCGTAACAAAAAGCTACAAAAAAGTTACGAAAAACCAGCTGGGTCTGAATCTGTGCCGCTACTATGGAATTTATGGAAATTCAAGCTAGCGGATCCGCTGTTTTTTCGGACCTGGGCTAAGCTACAAATTTGCAAATAGTGTAACAAAAAAGCTACAAAAAACCCGCCAGGTCTTGAATGGTGCCGCCACAGAGTGCCCGCTAGCTTGATATAGCCCTTAATAGTGTATAGTCCTCGGGAAGCGACATCGATGGGTTATGCGCAGTAGGACCAACAGTCAAATTTTAAAAATTTAGTCACCATGTCAACTTTATTCTCTTCTGTCAAACACATTTTAATCCGTTCAAAATGTCAGAAAAATAAGTTTTTTTTTTGAATTAATTACATTTTACATTGTTTATTAATTTTCAAAAACCAAAAATTTCAAAGAAAATATAATTATTTCATATAAACAGTTACTTGTTACTCGAATCATTTTTAAAGTTAGGTTAATGTCAGAAACGTGATCATTTTTAAAAAATATTCATTAAAATGTATGGATTATATAGAATTTCATATGGATTTACCAACAATGCGGTAAGAACTTTGCAAACCTATTTTAATAACATAATTACGTACCTAATTAATTTTATACAGGTACGTTTCTATTCACGAGAGCCTGCAAAGAGGACATCATTTCTGGCTAGGCTTTATGAAAACTTCAAGGATGAGATGGCGAAGAATAAGGAAATGAAAGAATCTTTAAAAAAGTTTCGCGAAGAAGCTCAGAAATTAGAACAAAGTGATGCATTAAAAGCAGCTCGCCAAAAATTTGAAACTGTAGAAAAAGAAGCTAGTAAAAGTAGTGAAGTTTTTAAAGAGAGTTTAGATTCCATTAAAGTAAAAGTTAAAGGCGTTATAGATGAAGCCAGTAAATCTGATTTAGCTAAAAAGGCTGGTAAATTTACGGAGGGTGTGGGTAAAACAACTCACAGAATTAGCGAAACAGCACAGGAAATCAGCAAGACTGGTGCATTTCAAAGTATATCCGAAGCTACAAAGGCTGTCAAACAAGAAATAGATAATACAAGCATGGAAGGTTTGTATACTTTCATTTTTTCAAAATCATTACATAACTTTTTAGAAGATTAATCAGTTTTATCTTCGTTAAATATCTAGTTTTATATCTTTTGAAGTTTTACTTATTTATTATGTGAAACATAATTATTTAAATAATAATAATAATAATGTACATACCATACATGTACATACCAAAAATAACAAAAAATATGTAGAAATGTACATTTGCCTGGGCGAGATTTAGCCTAAGGCTATTCTTACATCTAACCCTATAAATTCTATACATAGTTTAAATAATAAATACATTTTTTACAATAAGCAAATTCTAGTAAAACATTTAAAAAGAAAAAACAATTACCTAAGTGTGTTTATTCAAAAAGAACAGAGGAGATAAAAAAATTAAACAATTGCACTTAAATACTTTGGGAGACCAAGAGCTGTCGTTTTAATGTATTTTTAAAAACATTTAGAGATTTTGAATTTTTTATAGATGTGTTTAGGCTGTTGTACAGAACAACGGCATTGTATGGAAAGCTGCGATTAAAAATTGCAGTAGAATGATGAGGCATGGTTAATGTTAAATTATTTCTAATATTAATATTGTTCTGAATATTAGTTTGTCTTTTAAATATGGTGGTATTGAAGTATTAATTATATTATGTATTAGCGATAGGAACAGATATTTGAATATGTTGTTAACATTTAACCATCCAGTTTGTGAAAAAGCCAATGATATATGGTCGAACTTGCAAAGGCCATTGACGAACCTACAACACGTATTCTGCATTATTTGCAGTCGATTACGATTGACTGCTGTTAAACAAAAATTTCCAATTAAAAGTTTGTGCAAATGAATATTAACAAAATTTTGGGATAGAGAGTGAATAAGGGTGCTGGGTGGGTAAAAACGCTAAGAGTGTCATACTTTCTACAGTTTTTTGGATTAATATTAACAAATTTACTGGAAATGGAGTAAATAGGGGTGCTGGGTGGGAAAATAAATGTCAATATTGACTTTTTTTATATTGTTAGGGCTAGGTAAATTATTATAAAGGGTCTGTCAACTCATCTAAGCTTACAGAAAAATATCAGATTGTGCTAAATAAGTAGTTGGGCACAAAATAACGCCCAGACAACTGGTGCAGATAGTCTATTTGTCTGGTTGCATTCACACATGTTATATTATCAAGTATAAGTTAAAATGTGTATAACACCTAAAAATATAGATAGTAAATCATTTATTTTTCAATCCTTTAAGAATTAAGTAAATGTGTTTACTCTTTTTAAGACACATAATACAATAGCTTTTGAAGTGATAGCCAAATATAAGTATAGTTATTTAAATTAAGTGTTCTAAAACAAAAATGGAAAGCTTTGATAACTTTACAGGAAAGTCATGTGTTGGACACATCATATTTTTAACTAATGTGTTTTGAAATTAAATAGCAAACATGCAGTGCTGGTTCCTCAATAAAGGGCACTTCCTAAATTGCAAGTGTGCACTCTCAAAGTATTAAACCAAGTGCCTGGATGAATAGTTATTTAAATGTGTATTCTAAAAGAGGCGATAATATTAAAGACCAGGCAATATCAAACCTTCGGGCCTGTGCTTTAATAATAATAAATAATAATAATACTTTTTTGCTTCCAAAACATTTAAGTTTACAGCAAGGGTTTGGGTTTTACAAAGTATATTTATATGTAATAGTAGAGCTATATAAAAATAAAAACAAAACATAATATATGAGTATAACTTAAATCATTTTTCAAGTAATAATGCAAAAATCCTCTCACTCATTACAAACTTTTTAGAACGTTCTGTATACAGATAGATAACAATGATTTAATTCAGGATACAGAAATCAAATAAAAAGAATCCGTAACGAAATGGTATTTCCACAAAGTCCGATTATAAAAAATAAATCTGTGAGATTATTCATTTAAAATAAATGCCTTAAGTTTTAATATATTCCATATATAACTCGCTATTATTTTGGCATTGTCAGTTGTCAACTTATCCAGGGCAGAAATTAATGGATCTATGTCCCGTAAAAAAAGAAATTGTGGTTTCATATCTGTATATATTGGGCAATCAAAAAGCAAGTGGTTAAGAGTTTCATATTCATTCATAAGTAGGATTTTACATCTCTAGTCATATCAAAACCAGTATACAATGACATAAAAGTGCAACGCTGAGCTTTGTCAATATCTGCTTCTAGTAACTTTTTTTAATAACATCTTCTCGTTTGCCTTCAGAGTAACCGTATCTAAATTTTCCCATATATTTAAACCTTCAGTTAATTCGAAAAAGTTACGTAGTTGGCAAACCCAATTAAAACGTACATCAGAGCAATTTGTTAATTTTTTTAAGCGATCAAAACAAAGTTTAGGGTAACGATTACTATTCATTGCTAGTATTTTGTCAAGTATTTTGTAATACCAGTTCAGAGCTAATTTAAAGATATTATAGGATAACATTACCTGCCTCTAATCTGATTATGCAACCAGGAGTTTTTGTTGGTAGTAAAAGTACCCTTTTCAAAAAGTTTAACTGAACTCTCTAAAGCAGCTCCATGTATCTTAAGTCCCATGCTGCAACGCAATTAAACATTACATCAAGGGCCAAAGACTCAAAAAGCCTAATTCTAGGATGCCATGTATCAATTCTTGCTTTGGACATAATGGGGATGACAGCTCCAACAGCTTGTTTTGCTTTATTTGACGTATTAATGGCCATCTGATTAAAAAGGGAGGAAGATGTAAACGTTACTCCAAGGTAAACATATTCATTAGAAACTGGAATCAACTCATTATTAAAATAAAAGGAATATTTTGGCTTCTGGAACTCACCCTTAGAAAATTGCATAATGTTTGTTTTGGAGGTATTAACTGTTAAATAATTCAATCCAAGGGTCCCAGGTTCGCACCCAACCGTTGGCCGGGATTTTTTATTTAATTTAATTATTTAAAATTAATTCTGATGCCTTGGTAGGATTCCCCACTCGACCATTCACTGTTGGGTTCTAATTAACAGTGCTGTCCCTAAAGTGGCGCTGGGAAACAGTAACAAAGCCTACACAGAACACGAGGCTAATAACCTTAGTAGTTGATGCGAATGACACCAAAATAAAAAAAAATCAATGAAGTGTATTGCTCTAATATTTTAAGTTTTTTGGATAAATCTACCTCGAAATGTGCAAACAGAACCAGATCATCAGCGTAAAGTAATGCCAAAATATCATTCCAACAAATGATTCCTCCTGTGCAAACACTGTCAGCCGTATGCATAATCGATCGCCAGCGATTCGCTGGCGATCCGCCGGCGAAAGCCCAAACAGCTGGCGACTCGCCGGAGATTGTCACCGGAATGTCATTTCATGCAAGTTTTCATGTTCTTTTATAGGGAAAAATTTGATATTCGTTCATTATTTTTTGAGTTTTAAGAAATGAATCATGAATAAAATGCGAGAGATACCGATGATAATCCCTATAAAAGAAAATAAAAACTTGCGTGAAATGACATTCCGGTGACAATCTCCGGCGAGTCGCCAGCTTTTTGGGCTTTCGCCGGCGGATCGCCAGCGGATCGCCAGCGAATCGCTGGCGAAACGCCGAAATGAATATCTGGCGAGTCGCTGGCGATCGACTATGCATACGGCTGTGTGTGTTTTTCACTCTATAAGAGCAAAGCAAACCAGGTATCGATTATTAGAAAATATATATTTTTTATATTACTAAATAAATATGGTACATGGTAGTAGAGAAGAAATATAAATGGTAAAAATAAACTGCTTATGGAATTAGTCGATATACCTAATTTTATCGTCATTTGTAGGAAACTGTATCTCAGAATTGGCTTAGCCTATTTTTAAAAATGAAGAAAATTCTGAAAGTTCATTATTTCTATTACAACAGGTGCAGACAGCTAAAAGTTTACATTTTTAGATTGTAGTCTTTCACACCCTGTATAACACTGAACAGTGACTTTTACTGACGATCACATCAAGTCATTAATACAAGAAATAATGAAATTTCAGAATGTTCTTGATTTTTGAAAATCGGTTAAGGCGTTTACGAGATACAGTATCCTACAAATGACGATTAAATTAGGTGTATTGACTAATTCCGTGAGCAGTTTTTTCACTGCAGGAAAAAATTCACACTAATACAAAAATAATACATTTTTATTTTGAAACTAAATTACAAAACACAAAATACACAAATTCTCACATATAAAATATCACATATAAATTGCATCGTAAAATGAAAATTACTTACCTTAAAAAAAATACAAACCAAGATTTGTAATCTTTGGTTGTTTTTAATTATATTTACAGCTGCTGCAAAACCACTTTTGTGATTGTTTAGGTACTTTGATCGAATTATTGCATTTACTATCTATCCACAGTAAAAATAAGTCGCATCTAATTGATTGTTTGCTAAGAACTAGTTCACAAATCTTACAAAATTAAAATTTTTATACTTATATATTAAGCCACTTTTCAAAATGTATTTCAATTAGATGAATGTCAATTTTGGACTTTAATACAAAATTTGGCAGTTGAGTATCAGTTAAATCCACACACCTAGAGAAATATACCGCTAAAGAACGACTGTGCATCTGATCTGAGTGTCTACTGAAACGAGATAGAATATTCCGCCATTTTGCCAGCTAATTGTCAGTTTAAGTGTCAACTTTCGATGTCAATAATGCCGATGCTATTTTAGAGTTTTGCGTTTTTTTTTTTCGTTTATGTTTGTGAATTATACGAGCTTTCGAATTTTGTTCAGTCGTTCAGTTTCAATATACCATCCCAAGTTTAACACAGAGACACCTTTACGGGGAAATTATGATTTGTTCTTCGATCCTGCATTGACGAATCCCCTGGGTTCTGAACAGTCGACATTTTTTTCGAACGATTTGATCAATTTATCTGATTTTTAAAGTATTCGGAATATGTAATAATGCAAATTCACAAAATAATGGTAATAGTTGATGCATAAACAATTTTTTTAATA